TTCCTTCCTTCCTTCCTTCCTTTTTTATTTTGTTGGTTTTGGGAATTGAACCCAAGACCTTATGTGTACCAGACAATTTCTTTACCACAGAGCTGTACCCTTAGCCCAAATGTTTAAAATTTTTGGTTTTACAACACATGACTCTTACAACTTTTAAAGCATTATATGAACATACTACTTCCATAATATTGCAACTGTCTCTGAACTAGGTAATTCCTAGTTTGACTTTCCTAGCTGAGGTCTTTTTATTTTTTGGTGGTGGTATAGGGATTGAATCTAAGGTCTTCTCACTGGCTACATCTCTAGCTCTTTTTATTTTTTATTTTAAGCATGATCTTGTAAGTTGTCCAAGGTGCCCTTGAACTGATTATCCTCTTGTCTCAGCCTCAAGGAGCTGTGATTATAGCCTGCACCTCTCTTTTTGGCCCTTGTTTGAATCTTAGTTTTATTATTAATTTTGTGTTTTTCTTTTTGAAACGTGGTCTCATTTTGTATTCCAGGCTGGGCTTGAACTCCCTATGATCATTCTGCCTCAGCCTCTCATGGGCTGGGATTACAGGTGTCTGCTACCTTGCCCTCTGAATCTTAATTTTATTTTATTTTATTTTTTTTGGTTTTGTTGTGTTTTTTTGTTTTTCTTCCAGTACCAGGAATCGAACACACGACCTTGCCCTTGCCAGGCAGGCTCTGTGCCACTGAGCTAAATCCCCAGCCCCTTGAATTTAATTTTTAAAAACTTCCTGGGCTGGAGATATACCTCAGTGATAGAACACATGCCTCGCATGTGTAAGGCCTACCCTAGGTTCAACCTTCAGCACTAGAAAACCTTTTAATGATTAAAGTATTTTAGGAGGTATGTTGTGCTCTTTAAAAAATGGTAATATGGTTTTTGTCTTTTCAGTCAAATTCTCAAATTGAAACTGAAATTGAAGTTGTATCCTCCAAAGTTTCTGAATGCAGTATGGATGAAAATCGAAGCCGTGAGGTTCCTGCAGAAAACCTGAATGTGAACCAAAGAAATATCTCAGATGAAAAGATGAAGTGAGTTTGCTTTTAGTGAGAAAAACATAAAATGTTTCAAAAATAAAGATAATTTTTGCATAACTGATTTTATAAAAACTTCATATCCTAAAAATCTATGAAACTACATGTCTCTCAATGTAGTTCAAGTTGGCCTTGAACTCACTGTGTAGCCCAGGCTGGCCTTAGTCTTTCAGTGATTCTCCTGCCTCTGCCTTGCCCTGCTGGGATTACAGGTGTAATCCCTACCAGGACCCCCAGAACTAATTTTTAATCTACTCCAATTACAGTAAGAATTTATTCTTTCTCTCTTTGTCTCCTCTCCTCACCTCCCGCTTCTCCTTTTTTTTTGGTACTGGGACTCAAACTCAGGACCTTGCGCTTATGCCACTGAACTATATCCCTGGCCCTCTCCCTTTTTTTGTTGTACTAGGGTATTGAACCTAGAATCTTAGTACTGTGCTACATCCCCACCCCCTTTGTTAGTTAATTTCTTATTTGAGACAGGATATCCCTAAGTTCTAGGTTTGCCCAGGCTGAGGTTTACATTGTGGTCCTCCAGCCTCCGCCCCTCAGAGTGCTGGGTTTACAGGTGTGCATCACCCTGTCCAGCTTGATATTCTCTTAATTTGTAATTTTTTGAAATTTTTGTCAAGCATCCTCACTTTTAGTATTAAAGGTAAACTTTAAATTTTCTACCTTTCAAAATATAGAACCTACTAACTAAAATTTATGAGTAGGATGTGCTATGAAGTCCTTACTATATACTGTACATCCAAGCCAAATGGTAAGAATGGTATCTTAAACATGTGCTAGTTTTTGTATTAATGCTTTTAGTTATTACTTGCAATCTGTTTAATTATTGACATTAAAGCAGAATGTATTGGCCTCTGTAATAAAATCGTTTTTTGTAAAGGTCCTTTTTTGGAGACGGTCTCACTATGTAGTTCAGGCTAGCCTCAAACCTGTGGCAGTCCTCCTTTCTCAAGATTACAGGCATGTGCCACCATGCCAGGCTCTTTTTGGATGTAGTTCTTGACCCATCTGATTTACTATATTATCTTTGTAGGATACTTTCTTTTTTTCTTTTTGCAGTACTGGGGATCTAGCTGATGTGTGCTATACCACTGAACTATGTCCCCAGACCTTTATATTTTATGTTGAGAATCTTACTGAATTGCCCAGGCTACTAGTTGAGCTTAGTCAGTTGGTATATTTGGAAATGTACTAATTACTTTCTTTTCTAGGTGTTTTATTTAGAAATATTCTTAGGACTAGTTCCTAATACAGGGGTTTTAGAGAATGCAAATACCCAGCTTTCTGTTATTTAAGCTTCCTCATTCAGGTCCTTACTAGCTATTAAAACCTGCATTTTCCAGGAAGCCTTAAGATAACTATTTGGGTTGTTCTGGGAACCTTGTTAAAACCTTCTCCGTGACTGATTTGGCAGATACAGAGCAGATATACAACATATTTCTGTGAAGTGTTTTGTTGTTGTTGTAACCCAGGGCCTGACCTTTCCTATGACCTTTCAGGCGTGTGGTGGAATATACTTTTTCTTCTCAATTCCACTCTTTAGTAGAAAGACGAAGTGGTTATGACTATTATGTCTTATCTTGTGCTTTAGAGCCTAGGTAAAGGTGTTTCTTTAAAGTGCCATTATGAAATCCATTTTTAGTTACTGGCATTTAGTTATTTCAATGAAAAGTACTTAAAGTAACATGAGACTGCACATTAGAATGAGTGAACGAAAGTAAAGAAACAAGATTGGTATTATTACAAAATTATTCCCTGAGCTATCCACAGAGTGGAAGCTATGAAAGTTTTTATATTCTTCCATTCATATCAGCAACAGAGGGTGTCATTGTACATGCTTGGCTTTATCCCCAATTTATTTATGTTTTGTAAACATATTCCTTTGAACTTAGAATTGGTTTGTATCTAAAACTGTTTAACAGTTGTTACATCAGCAGAGAATTCTAATTTTGTTCTTCAACATGATCTGCACTTCATTCTAGACATGAAAATAAGCCATGTGTTCCTAGTCCAGCACAGCTGATAAGAAGGAAATTCCAAAAGACTAAGCCAATTTTGGGACGGGCGCGCAGTAGAAAAGTAGAAGAAGCAGGTATAGACAAAGGCCCAGTGGATCAGTGTGGAGCAAGTAAACCAGAAGATAATTCGCTGCATCAAGTGAATCCTGACACCCAGCTCCATCTAAAAGTAAGTTTGGAAATGTTTTTTGTGGTTAGTGAGCTCTGTTTTGTTAGGGTCGTGAAGGAGAATGAAGATATTACTAAAGTAAGGTTTTACTGTATTTTACATATGAGACATTACTAAGATGCAGGGCAATATTGTAACTGTTTTCTTGGAAAACTTAGTCTTTTTTTTGTGGTTCTGGGGATTGAACCCAGGACATCAGACATGTAGAGCAAGTGTTCTACCATGGGCTACAGCTCCAGCCCAATTTTCATGATGAATTGAGAAACTTACTGCTTGTATATATGTAGAAGCATAGAGATTTAGACCAAACTGCTAAACCACGTTAACATAGAGATGATTTTCATGGTAATATTAGTGGTTTCATCTTATATTTAAGGGAGAAGCTGAAATTGTGACATCTCCGGAGGTTTCAGTAAGAAAAGATGGTAAAGGTTCTGAAGAGCCTGTTTTGGCCAGAAGAGATGCTCAATTAGAAACAGTGGGACCATCGGAAAGTTTTAGAGAGGAAACTGTGGAAGATAACTCTGTGTCTTCAATTGTTGAAGAGCAGCATTTCAGTAAACTAACAAGGTAACATTTATTTAACAAATACAAAGAATAGGAAATAAAAATCACTTATTCTTCATAGATGTCCTACTTAACATGCTGCAGATCAAAAAGATGACTTGTGAACATGAGTGGAGATTTTTTAAATGTTTCTTTTCTAATTTTTCTCTTTATTTACAGTAATTTACTCTTTTCCTGGTTTTCTTTATAAGATTTTTCTTTTCCAGGTAGAAAATTTCTGGGTGTGGAATCTGTTAGACTTGAGGAGAAACCTGACCAAAGAGTAATATGCATTACCTAAGTAATTGAAGTGCTAGTTTGAGTGGGATTACAAACAAAAAGGGCACCCTCCCTATACTCTCAAAGACAGTGGAAAGGAATCTGAGATCTAAAAAGCACTGTGGCCTGAGGTGCTTGTCCAACATGTGCCAGGCCCTGGGTTTGATTCTCAGCACCGCAAAACAATAACAAAAGTAGAACATACAACCCACCAGCGCTGATCTGATTGAGTCTCTGTTTCTCCCTTTTTCTTTTCACCTAATCCCTTTTTCTTCTGATAATTTCCTGCTTTGTGTTTATCTCATCTCTGCCATATTATGGGAGAAAATAGCCCAGAATTAAAAATGTTCCAGGTAAACTCTGTAGAAAACTAAGAATTAATTCTGAACGGGAAACTAAGTACTACTTAATTCCTTTCTTATTTTCACAGCCTAAGTTTTTAAAAAGACTGGGTTGTGAGAGAGTGTTCATTTTAATGGCTGGAACTAAGAGTTCACTGTAAAAGTGTGATTTTCATTAAAATCCTAGGGCATATATGACCATATTGTTATTTTGATTAAACATCCAGTGGTCCACAACTGCTGAAAGAATCACATTACTGTAGAACTGCTCTGGATGGAAGAGCAGCGATCTCTTCTGCCTCTGGGAGTGAGACAGATCAGAGTGAAAGGAGAACGCAGAGGAAAACCAAAGCCAGTGTCCCCAGAGGGCGTGGAACCAAGCGAGCTCGGGCTAAGACCTCTAAGAGGGAGCCGAGGGCCCCCAAAGCCGTGCTGGTGACTCTTCGGGCTTCCCAGGAGGAAGATGACGCCGACGCTCAGGACTTTGAGTCTGACTATGAGGAAGAGAGCTACCACCTTGCCCCAGAGGAAGTAAACAAAGCACCAGTGTTTGTCCCTTTTGGACTCAGATCCCCTGAGCCAGTTTCTGCTCAGATCGAGGAAACAATGGAAGAGGTAGTTTTTGTTAAATACTTGGCACTTTCTTTACTTGTTCTTTTCCCGCCTTTTTTTAATGAATCATTTTTTTTCTTTAGTGATTATTAGGATTTGAAGAGTTCACTCTCTAGTAATTGCTACGAATCATAAGTTGTCTGTAGCCTCACTTTAGGAATGAGCAGAAATAGTCTGTGATTACTCAGTCCTTGTAGCCCAGGCTCGTCAAGAGAATCAGCATAAAAATAATGACAGAAATAGGCTGACACTTGATGTGGAAGATACTTCATCTCCTCCTTTTGTTCTTTCTTCTCTGTGTTGGGGATTGAACCCAGGGCTTTCACCGTGAGTTACATCCGCACCCCTTTTTAGATTTTAGACAGGGTCTCGCTAAGTTGCTAAGTTGCCCAGGCTGGGCTTGAACCAAGAATCCTCCTGCCTCAGCCTTCCAAGTGCAGCGATTACAGGCATGTGCCACCACAACTGGCATGCCCATTGGACATTTGCAAACATTTTTCAAATCTGAGGAAACACAGAACACCTAAGTGTTACTATAATAGCATTTATCATTTTTTTTAAGGTCCTAGACATCAAACCCAGGACCTTGCACATATTAGGCAGGCGCTCTGCCAGTGAACTGCATCCTCTGTTCTTATGATAACTATATCTTTAGGACATATTTTCAGACTTGATTCATTGCTCACAATTTATACTGAATCAAGGTGGTCTTTTTCAGTCATCTTTCTGTTAATAAGGGAATAAGAGCCATCCTTTATTATATATATTCTCGGGCTTGAATCAGTATATCTGTAGTCCCCTGAATATGGGGTTCTTTTTTTTTGTTTTTTTTTCCGGTACCGGGAACCGAACTCACGACCTTGCGCTTGCCAGGCAGGCGCTTTTGCCGCTGAGCTAAATCCCCAGCCCCGAATATGGGGTTCTTTCACTTGTAGAGCTGCCAAATGAAGTGTGTGAGTGAACCCATTTCCATGGGTATCGAATCATGTAGCGGGGCATGGTGGAGCACGCCTTTAATACTACCACTTGGGGAGGCAGGAGGGGCGCTGTGAGTTTAAGGCCAACCTGGGCTCCATAGTGAGTTCAAGGCCAGTCACAACTGCATAGAATTATTTTGGCTATGGGAGTGATAGGACAATTTTTTTCCCCCAGTACTGGGAATTTAACCTGGGACCTTTCCACTGAGCCATATCCCCACCCTTGTTTTTACTTTTTATTTTGTTTTGAGACAAGGTCTCACTAAATTCCCCTGCTGGGCTTGAACTTGAGATCCTCCTACCCCAGCTTTACTAGAGTGCTAGGATACAGGTATGTGCCATCATGCTCAATTGTGATAAATCTTTTTAGGTACTTTTAACTCATCTCTGTAATACCATTTATGACAGTGGCTAGTTTGGTTAGAATGTGTAATTCTCTTATATTGTGGTTTCATTGAGGCCAGGGTCTGAGCGTGTCTTGTTTGACTTTGTATCTTTGTATTCATATTCTTACAGTTTGTAGGGAGCATTTCATAAATGATAATAAAAGGAAGAAGTAAATTAGAGCAAAGTGGGGACAAAATGAGAATGAGAAATGAAATGCCAGACCTTAAGAAGATTAACCTTAGAAAGTTTGATTACTGGTATGAGGTGCAGACACCTCAGAAATTTTCAATGTTTTACTTTTGCTGAGGTGCCATGAGTTAGTTTAAGAGTTACATTTCAGTGTTCTAATGTTGCGCAAATGTAGATTATTTCTCATGTTTAACATTTCAGTATACTCAGTGTAGAAAATGAGGTGCTGTTTTACGGTGTATAGAACTGCCAGCATGAAATGATGAAACTTTATTTTCACAGCTGGAAATAACCGTGAACGTTGCTGATGTCGGATGTGTCACTGTTGTTGAACATCAGCCCTCAAACGCAGATACGACTGTTGAGAAACCAGAGCAAGAATATCATTTGAATGTGCCAGTTGTAAGCATCCATTTTAATTTTTTATTCTTTATTTACTTTTAAAGACTAGAGGGTTATTTTGATGGCTTTAGTTTACAAATAGTTTTTAGCTAATTTCTCTTATGTGGGACATGTGAGTATGAATAATAAAAACTTACAAGTAATAGATTTTAGTTTGACTTGAAAGCATTGATTGTGTGTGTGTGTGTGTGTGTGTGTAGAACTCTTCCTGTTCCCCATAGACTTTTACACTGGAATTCTATCATATACATCTATATAATGTATATTGCTTAAAATATACTTAGTTTCATTGTGTTTGGCACGCTTTCATATTTGGTATGAAGACTTAGAATCGTAAGTTTTTTACAAACACCTCTATTGAAATACAGTTTAGACACAATATAATTTACCCATTTGAAGTGTAAAAATGAAGATTTTTAGTATATGTAGAGTTTTGCAAGAAGCGTCACCAGTTTTGGAACACTGTCTTTACTTCAAAAAGAAATTCCTGCTTGGCATGGTGGTGAGCCTTTAGTGCAAGCTGCTTAGGAGGCTGAGGCATGAAGATAACAAGTTTGAGCCCATCCTGGGCGATTTAGCAAGACCCTCTCCACATTTAAAAAAATAAATGAAAAGAGCTGGGGATGTAGCTTAGTTCATTCCCTAATACTGGAAAAGAAAGAAAGAAACCCCATGGGCATTTGCAATCCCTCCACGTTTCCCTCCGAGAGCTCCCAGGCCTCAGGAACCAGCTACTTACTTTTTTCTGTAGATTGCTTATGTTAGATACTTCATCGAAATGAAATAATAAAATATGGTATTTTGCGTCTGACTTCTTAATACCTTCAGTGTTTATCTGTGTTTCAGCATGTTTCATTGGAGCCAAATAATTTACTACATTCTGTTCATTCATGTGTTCGTGGACATTTGGGTTGTGTTCCATCTTTTGTCTGTTACAGATACTCATGTACAACGGTTTGTGAGAACACAAGTTTTCATTTCTCTTGGATACATTCCTAAGAGTATAATTGCTAGGTTATATGATAGCTCTGTGTTTAATTGTTTGAGAAATTGCTGAACTGTTTTCCAGAGCAGCTCAACCATTTTATGTTCCCAGCAGTGTGTGAGGGTCCCTGTGTCTACATCTTTGCCAGCACTTGCTATGTGATATTTTGGATCTAGCTATCTGTTCTATTTGGGATGAAGGCATGTCTCATTATGGTGTTTTTGTTTTTTTTGTGGGAATTGAACTCAGGACCTTGCACTTGCCAGGCATGCACGTGTGCCGCTGAGCTGTATTCCTGGCCCCCTCCTCATGGTTTTGATTTGCATTTCCCTGATGACTAAGGATGTTGAGTTCCTTCATGTGCTTATTGGCCATGATTTTTGGAGAAATGTCCATTCAGATGTTTTGCATATTTTTAGTTGGGCCATTTGTCTCTTTATTGAGTGGTAAGAATTCTTTACATTATCTAGAGGCAAGTTCCTTACCAAGTGTATGATTGACAGATACCGTATTTTCTTTTGTTCTTTGGGTTATCTTTTTGTGTTCTTGATGGTTTCCTTTAAATCACAGACATTGTTAATTTTGATAATGGTCCA